TTTGGAAAAGAAATTAGGGTATACAGGAAGAGAGCAGCTGGTCACACAAGAGGTGCCAAAGCTCAGGATTTGGTATCCTAGATTTCAACTTGTGACACCAGAGGCGGGGCCCCTGAAAAGGGACAACGTGTGCCACAGAAAACTGAGAAGAAGGTTTCAGGCAACACCTGACCACAAGGGAGTTATTTTGAAATTTGAGATTAGGGAGTGACACTGTTCAGCACAAACATAAACAAACAAAATTGTAAACTAGATCATGCAGAGGATATCATATGAGGCACAGAAGGATGGATGGTAGTGGAGAAGGATCTCCACAGTGAATATTTTAGCATCTCATGAGAGGCTCACAAGTTTGTTTTTTAATTAATTTTTAAATTTTACTTTAAGTTCCGGGATACATGTACAGAATGTGCAGGTTTGTTACATGTGCCATGGTGGTTTGCTGTACCTATCAACCCATCGTCTAGGTTTTAAGCCCCTCATGCTTTAGGTATTTGTCCTAACGCAGGCATTTTTTAAAGGCTAAATTAAGTTAGGAATTCTACAGAGTAGATACTACTCTTTGAGAACTACTTAGTGCACATTAGCATAGTAAAAGCCTTGGGAAAACCCACAAGGAAAGCAATTTATCTGTGTTTAACCCAGAGTTTGCCATCATTGTTAGGCCACTTAAGTATAATACTTATGCCTCCACTCTACCTTACAACAACAATGGAACACAAATGTTCCAACAGACTAGTTGAAAAAACCTGGATCTACACTAAGGCACACAGTATTGACAACAACAACAAAAGGCAAAGGCAACAAAAAAACTTCACAAAACCAAAACAAAGTATGGGAAATACAACAAACAAGAAACAATAATGGAGGTAAATATCATCTTACAGAGCAGCCAGGACTTTGGAGTATGGGATTTAGGATTAGAGTATAACAGTATAATGGTATATTTGGGATAAAAGGAACAAATTCAATGTAATGATCTCAAGTAGCACTTCCCATGAAGAAGGTAAACAGAGAAATTCATAAAGGTGGGAGCAGAATCATGGTGTGGGGAACATTTGGTGATGATGAAAGGGGAGGGAAGTGGAAGCGGCGTCGCTGGGGAAGTGCACGACAGCGCATCTGAAAGGTGTGCTACCACAGTAATGAGGGATTTGATTTCTTGGGAAACCCTTTTGATAAAATCAGAGGATATAAAAATTTTACGCCTTGCTTTGCTGATAATTTTAACCTCTCAATAAATTGAAGAAGCAGTGAGGAAAGGGATTTAGTGTCAGTTTAATTTCAACAAATATGGGAAGAGTGGTTGGTTATTTAGAAATATCAGAAACTTTGGGAGAAAGCCAAGTACTCATAAAATCCAGCCTCTCCATAATCCTGTCAGAAATGTTTTAAAGAGGATTTCTTGGAAGGAAGGTTATACTAAATAATCTTTAAGTCCCTTCTGAAACATTAAAAGGCTGCCTCTAACATTCTGCATTCACAGTGAAGAACTCCAGAGGTGGCCAGCATGACACCTGAGCAAGCAGTGGCATCCGTGGCTCTGTGGCCATGTGGAAAATAAACAATAGTGGGGCACACCAGATATAGTCAAAAGGGCATCAGATATGTCACGTAAACATACCATAGAACTATAAGAACTGAAACAATGTGGTCTTTGAATAAAAATAGATAAATCAGTAGTACAGAATAGATACTTCAGAAATAGATAAAAATATGCCTAAGAATTTAATTTCCAATAAAAGGCAGATTTAAGTCAATGGGGGCATGGAAAATAGGGAATATAACAACTTCCAGAGTGGGCAAACCTTTCTGCATTTAGAAATGGAATAAAGAACTCATAAACGGAAAATTAAATATAAAAACCATAAAAAAGAACTAACATTAGGAGGCAAAACCCGGACTAGATAAACATTTTCAGGAAATATGAAGTCCAAGGATTAAAATGTTTAACAAATGCCCAAATATAAACAACAACAACAAAATTACCAAGTATCCATTTATCAGAGAATAATTATTTGCAAAAGAGAAAATATGAATAGAAAATGAAAGAGAATAAGGAAATAAACAAGGGTAGTTATAGAATAATTTAAGATAAAATAATAGGATGCCATTTTTGCATATCAAATTAGTAAATATTAAGTCCATATGTATATTTTGGGAATTAATCGACCAGTACTCAGCAAGAAACTTGAAAATGCTCATTTCTTTTGACCTACTAGTTCCACATGTAGGAGCCTATCCAATGGAAATAATTCTAACAGCTAAAAAGCCCCATCCATAAAAATGTCTACTGCAATGTTTTAAAGGAAAATGTTACTTGCTTTAAAAAAGCAAAAAGGAGAAAGGAAGAAATAAGAACAAAGGAGTAAGAAGACTATTTAATGTATGCTTACCAGATGGAGGTTATATAAATTATCCCATTTAAATCTCAGCAGTTCCATGAAATAGATATGATCACCATTTTATAGAAAAGGTAAGATGTTTTTGCATGCTCAGGGAGACTAAGTTCTTTAAGGAAACTTGGCTAGTTAACAGTGAAAAAAATGAAAACAGCCTAAATGTAAATAGTAGAATGGTTAAGTAATCTGGAGAGTTGATGAATTATTTTAAAAATTTTAATATAAAAGAATACAATGGAAAAATAGTTTAGGATGGCCGGGTGCGGTGGCTCAAGCCTGTAATCCCAGCACTTTGGGAGGCCGAGACGGGCGGATCACGAGGTCAGGAGATCGAGACCATCCTGGCAAACACGGTGAAACCCCGTCTCTACTAAAAAATACAAAAAATTAGCCGGGCGAGGTGGTGGGCACCTGTAGTCCCAGCTACTCGGGAGGCTGAGGCAGGAGAATGGCGTGAACCCGGGAGGCGGAGCTTGCAGTGAGCTGAGATCCGGCCACTGCACTCCAGCCTGGGCGACAGAGCCAGACTCCGTCTCAAAAAAAAAAAAAAAAAAAAAAAAATTGTTTAGGTAAGATGTTAAAACAGTTGGCTGGTGGCCCTGAGAACAAAGCAAAGTGCAGTTAAATTATCAGGCTGTGTAAATGATGAAGGAAAGCCCAGAAAGACCCTGAAAGGCTCAAAAACAGTTTAAGCAATTTGGCTAACACAGGAGATAGAAAAAGTAATTCAGGCAGATACGGTAAATCTTCTATAACGAGTAGGGCTGTAATTCTTTTCATGGCAAGTTGCTGGGAAAATCGTAAATTGGTCACGGTGAAAATGTCAGAAGACTCAAAATCACAAGAAAAAAATAATGAATTAGGAAGGTTTTGGCTTACTCTAGAAGTCGTACAACATTTTCTGAGAGAAGTAGGAGGTGAGACAAGAGTAACTTACTTCTGCTTTCTGAATATTTCAATTAGGCAACTGGGGAAACTTGGGTGGAAAAATAGAAATCTTTACTCTCAAGTTATTAGAAGAAAGTATCTGTCTAGGTAACCTTTAGGGGAAAGTGGCCTGGGATAAACACATGTTCAAGCCATAGAAAATGTCATTTATGTATACCCACCTCCCTAGAGCAGACTAATCTTCAGTTGTATGAATTTGATAGCATTTTGAAGACTTTAATAAATATCCTAAATGTAATGTTTTAAAACTCAGCCTTTGTATTTCCTTTGTCTCCTACTTTCCCTAGTCTCTTATCCATTTTCATGTTCTTTCTTGTTATATTAAAAAAGAAACCATATATATATGTGTGTGTATGTATGTGTACACATATACACATACACACATGTACACATACACACACACACATATATATTACTATAATTAATTTGCAATTTTTCATTTATGGCCACTATTGAACAAAAAACAAATGCTTGGTCAACTCAGCATAAAGTGCACAGGTATGTGGGAGTAAAATTTAGCAACATTCCAAAAGCGATTGGTTTCTACTTAATGAACACCATCTACCCTCACCTACCTTGATGGCCAAAAGTGAAGTTTTCTTCTGCCATTATAACAATGACTACTGCATAATGCCTGGTTGTCACCTCTCCACTATAAATTCTGAGAGGGCAGACCATACCTGTCTTGTTTACTGTGGGAGCCCTTGCACCAGGACAGTGGCTCAATGAATATTTGTTGAATGAATGAATGAGTGAGTGCATATATAAATCCTACTCATGTCTCCAGACTTAGCGCAAGCCCCAGCTTCCTGATAACATCTTTCCTTAAAGCCCCAGTGACTGATCTGATTACTACATTACCAGTCTGCACCACTACTTAACACACCTGACTCTACACATCATTTTTATCATTGTTTTTCAGGTGTTGGTGTTTTGTTTTGTTTTTTCAATTTAAAGAGAAAGGATCTTCAAAGACACTTATATACATATATATTTATTCTGTTTCTCAAAGCACTTTTTACAGGGCACATGTAAAATCCTCAGCAAACACCTGTTAAATTCAATGATTAAATCTTTTAGATGACTTTTGACTTTGTGATATTTCTAAACATTTTCTCTACTGAATGCTTGCATTGTATTATGATTCCACCATGTGGTGGACAGAAAACAGGGAATTTAGTGTCACCTGAGCTGTTTATAGCTCTGCCACTTCAATGTGGAAAAGATACCTAAACTCTGCTCTTCTGTTTCTCTATTTGTAAAATGGAAACATTAACAAGAACAATAACAAGAAATATCTACCTATCATAAAGGGAAGACAGTGCAATCAAATGGGATAATATAGGTGAATGAATTTTGCAAATTGGAAAACAAATATTAGCCATTCTATTTACCAATTTTAAGAAATGCAATTGATGTTGCAAGACTGTGTATAGCAATAATAGTCAGCATGTTTTTTTCTGAGAACAGCTATTAGGTACAAGAGAAAGGTGATGAGGAAAAGAATCTCAAGTACAACTTGCCAAACATGCCCCAGTCATAAATAAAAGACCATGTCCAACACTCGCAGTGCAGAGAGATTACCAGGCACTTGTCACCTACACCTTTCGGGACTGCTGCAAGCATCTCTGAAACCAGGAGAAAGCTTACCAGACACGAGCTGCTGTCCAGGCAACCCCACGGGAACCATGCCCAGGTTATTCATGGCTGTAGCCCAGGCTGTGGGATCTGTCACAGACATGTTGAGCTGGGTCGTGTCTATTGCTATACTCCCCAAACCATCAGCTGCTGTGGGGAAAAACAAACCATGATTTAGAGTTCATAGGCAAGGGTGTTTGTTTTAAAGAAAATCACATTTCTAGAGATGTGAGGCTTCATTTAGCACATTCCCAAACTACACAAAAATAAAAAACTATAATCTACAGCAATGTTTTCTCCAGACATAAACATAAAGTGTTTCCAAATACTTTCTGGGAGAAAACTTAATGACATGTAGTTTATATTATACACAGCATGCTATTAAGGAGATACCCCTGGAAAAAAATTGAAGAATTGTTTGTTTCTCCCAGTGAAACAACATTAGTTAAGTCACAAGGCTGAGAGGCAAAGCAGTAATACTCTCTTGGTAAAACAAGTTAATTGGCTTACTGTTTCTAGGTGTAATTCTTGAGCAGGCAGGCCTTCTATCTAATAAGAAAATCGTTGTCAAGCAGGAGAACTGGTCCTGACTGAATTTATTAAGTGTTACCTCCTAACCTATTCCCTCCTTTACAAACTTTTACATTATTACGTTAAGAAAATGCAGGTGTCTACCTCAAGTGACTTTTCTGAAGGATTTCTAAATAAATAAACTTTGAAAACAAGTAGCACAAAGCTTAAGAAAACCCAAAACAAAACAGAAAAATGTGTCCAATTTGACTTAGTGCTCTTTCATTGTTACTAGTCCTACAGACTGATTTCTTCAAGGGCCCAGGCTCCTGGTTCAATGCATATTTTTCGAGGTGGGGCAAGCTTTCCACTAAGAACTCAAAAAAGCCTTGTTTGTGTCCTGTGCTGGCCACTGGCATTTACCTGCAGCCATCATCTGAGGAAGCTCCTGGGGAAGCTGGGTGATGTTCTCACCTCCACCTGCATCTACCATTGAATTATGAGCGTCCAGCGGGGCAGGAGCACTTTGATGGCTGAGTGCAGGGTCCCCTCGGAGGTCATCAGATTCTGCAAAACGGGACAGAAGTGTGGTGAGAAACCTTAATAGTTAACTGAGATAAAACGTCAAGGAGCAAACTGTTATCTATTCAAAATCAAAAACAAAGACCGATTTCCAGTCTCGGGCACAGAAGAAAGGCTGCTTCCCACGGCTCAGCGGCTGTCTTGTGGCTCAGTTATTAGAGCCCTGTGAGATGTGTGGGCCAACTCATGGAATCACCAGGAGCCAGGGCTGGCTGAATAAACAGCGCCATTTGTGAGTGCCTCAAAGGCCTTGTGAACTGAAGCACCTTCACAAATGGGGGCTTATCAGTCTCTGCACAGCCTCTTCCACACACGCTAGACATCAATGGAGAGGGCAGAATCAGGGCTAAAGAAGATTTTTTTTAAGTTAAAAAATTAATTGATGCTGTTATTTTGGAAGATGGTCGTCTGTGAAATGTATTCAGAGAGGATCAAAAGTTGGGAGGAGGAAGAAAAAAAGCAAGAACCCATTCACCATGCAGCTGGAAAAGGAGGGTACCTAAATTACAATAGTCCGGAAAGGCAAAAGAGAAGAATGGCATGCTGTCCACAAAGGAAGATCTAGAGGGTGCTAGGGAGGCAAAGGAAGAGCATTTGTTTTTTTTCAGCTCATTGGAAAGATAATTTAACTGGCCACAAGGTTTTTGGTTTGAATTTTCCTTAGAATTGCCCAGCTTATATATATATACACACACACATATATATAAAAAATATATATTATATATAATAAAATATATTCTATATTTATAGATTATATATTTATGTATAATATATAATATATAATATATAAAAGACTATATTATATATAAATATGTATAAATATATTAACATACTTATCTAATAAATATAAGTAACAAACATTAAAGTTACAAAGTTCTTCTCAATCTCACACAATTTATAAAATGCTATGCCTTCTCTCCACCCTTAGAAATGCAAAAACATAGAGCTTTCACATATATTTTAAGTGTACTTTCACCAGTTCAAAACTGGTGACATGACAAGTTTGATCTTATGTAGATTAGATATAACAACTAAGTCTAAATATTTATTTTTATTTTAGTATAAATTTAGAAGTTTTTCTAAACTATGTTCCTGTTAACGATTTTATAATTAGATCTTATGGTTTGAAGTTTGAACCTTTTATGGCATCTCTAATGTGAAGTTTGAACCTTTAATGGCATGTCTTTTTGTTTCATTCTTAGGTATAAGAATCAGTAATTCCTTGAGTACTGTACTGTCAAAAAGAACTTCTGATCAGTTGAGCAGAAGTTTAATTCAAATGGAAGCTAAGGGTTCAATTCTCAAGGATAGGTGAATAATGAGCAAATAGTTTTTATGGTCTCAACAAATCCCTATCCCTCAACTACAGGGGTATGTAAGATAGTGTGGAATTTTTTTCCAATTGTCTATCAGGAAGACGAATCATCATCATCATCCAACAGTGAATGATTCTAACTTTGGGAGCAAATTGTACTGAGAAGAAATATTTTATTCCTTCCCACTATACTATCCAAATGAACTCAGACCCTGCATGTGTATTGTGCATCGATTACCTTAGGCTATGAGTGCCATCAGACAAAGAGATTCTCACCATAGAAAATAAATTCAATAGCATAAGAAATGCAGAGCTAACCTAAATGTCTGGTCCATTCACCAACGATCTTTCTACGATGAAATCTCAAAGCACTTTTCTCTCTCCACTTCGAACAATTTCAGAGTAGCTTGGCAGAGTCAGGCTAGAATGTGTTCATTCTTTTGTTCAAATGGCCCTGTAGCAGAGCTGTTTCGGATCTTTGCAAGGTCACTATTTGTCTTACTTATCTCCCCAAATGAAGTTTAGCTGGCTAGCCTCCTTCTGCCTCAGATTCTTCCCAAATGGGCATTAATCACACATTTTTTTTCTCTCTAATGACTGCAGTTCTGGAACACTGTATCAGAGAACATCCCTCTACTTTGTAGGCTCATGACTTGTGCCTGACCCACCACATTTCACCTTGACTTTTTGCTATACTGTTTTAGGGATGGTTTTAGTTTTCCCTGACTCCATAACAGTCTGTTCCAATGGGAGTTTTCACCTTAGTGATTACAGTCGTATAAAGGGGCATCAAGTGTCCCGGAGACCCATAGTTTCTACCTAACACTTTCATGGCCATCTTAACAGACTGCAAGTGTTTCACTGAAAACAGTAACAAACTGCTACTGTTCCATTGAAAACAAAGCATTGTTCTGTTGGCAAGATGTGGTGTATAAACCTAGATTTATCCCCCAATCAAACTGTTGTGACATTCAATGTATTACATCTCTTCAGTCTCCCAATCCAATGGTTTTAATGACATACAACTTCGTGTAGCTACCATGTGCCTGGGATGGTGATTCTAAAGCAAGCTCTGTCACATCTTAGGAATTTCCAATAGTCTCAAGGCTGCCGTGACATTGTTCACAAAATTTAAATTGATTCGGTCACTCATTTCGGAAGAAAGGTAATACTTTTAATTAATTACCAACTAGTAATTTATGGATAGTTGCAAGAATGATTTTTGTACTTTGTTAGCATCTATTGTTCCCATTGAATACCTGCCTCTTTAAAGGATTCAAGGCCATAATGCCTAATTCATCATTCACATCAATTTCTCTGCCTTAGTTTTACTATTTCTAAAGTATGGAAAAGATTAATCTCCTTAGCGATGTTTATTTACACACAGAGATGTGGGGAGTTAAAAAATTATAGCTAATAAAGCACTCTGAATACAGTAGGTGATAATTATTATTATTTTATTTGGAAATGTAGTGTTTCCATTAAGGTACCCTGGGATCTTTGTGTTCTGGTAGATAATTATGTAATTAATTCTAAAACAGTGAATAACACTTGATATTTCTAAAAGTAAGTGTTGCCCTAGTTTTCCGTGCCACACCTCAGTTGGAGCACAATATTTCATTTTCCACCATTCCTTTATAAAATTACATGACGTAGGCTGGGCGTGGTGACTCACGCCTGTAATCCCAGCACTTCGGGAGGCCGAGGCAGGTGGATCATCTGAGGTCAGGAATTTGAGACCAGCCTGACCAAAACAGTGAAACACCATCTCTACTAAAAATACAAAAATTAGCTGTGTGGTGGCGCATGCCTGTAGTCCCAGCTACTCAGGAGGCTACAACAGGAGAATTGCTTGAACCCGGGACACAGAGGTTGTAGTGAGCCGAGATCACGCCACTGCACTCCAGTCTAGGTGCCAGAGTGAGACTCCATCTCTAAAAAACTAAATACATAAAATAATATAATGTAATTTAAGGCCAGGCACAGTGGCTCAAGCCTGTAATCCCAGAACTTTGGAAGGGTGAGGCGGGCAGATCACCTGAGGTCAGGTGTTCGAGACCGGCCTGGCCAACATGGTAAAACGCTGTCTCTACTAAAAATACAAAAATTAGCTGGGCATGGTGGTGCATGCCTGTAATCCCAGCTACCTGGGAGGCTGAGGCAGGAGAATCGCTTGAACCCAGGAGGCAGAGGTTGCAGCGAGCTGAGACTGCACCACTGCACTCTAGCCTGGGCAACAGCAAGACTCTGTCTCAAAAAAAATAAAAATAAAAACAAAATAAAAATAAATAATATGATGCAACTTAAATGATGTATAAATATTTTCTCTCTAGGATTTTTCTGCCTCTGTAACTACAAAAACTTTCAAGTGATTCATGACCATTTATGAAACTGGCAGTTTCTACTTATAGCTTTTAATGAAGTATGAGCACCACAAAACAATCTGATATACGAACTGCCAAGGATAAAAGTGCAGCTTTGTTTGGCCTTAACCGATATCTAACCTGTTTCCTGTTAAGATATATTCAAGTACAAAATCTCATACCAATTTCGTAACTGTTCAACAAAATATATTTATGCTCAGTATTTCATTGGGCTAGATAATGGGGCAAATAGTTTTTGAAACTTATCAAGTCTATGAAAATACTATTTGGCTTAAAAAATGGCACAGGTTTGGGAGGCCGAGGCAGGAGGATCACAAGATCAGGAGTTTGAGACCAGCCTGGTCAATATAGTGAAACCCCGTCTCTACTAAAAATACAAAACTTAGCTGGGTGTGGTGGCAGGTGCCTGTAGTCCCAGTTACTCAGGAGGCTGAGGCAGGAGAATCGCTTGAACTCGAGAGGCAGAGGTTGCAGTGAGCCAAGATCGCGCCACTGCACCCCAGCCTGGATGACAGAGTGAGACTCCATCTCAAAAAAAAAAAAAAAGGGGCACAGGCTACTCCCACTATTAATAATAGAACTTATTCTAACCCTCTCCAATTTCTATAGGTAGCAAGGATACACACGTCATGAAGAATAAAGCCTACCTGTAATTGTCCACAAAACACAGATTCCTATTAAAGGAGGGTAGAGATCAGTTAGGTATTGAAAATCCTTCTTATTAAAAAAAAGAAATAGACGGGGTGTGGTGGCTCATATCTATAATCCCAGATATGAGCTCATATCTATAACCCACTTTGGGAGACCAAAGTGGGAGGACTGGTGGAACCCAGGGGTTTGAGACCAGGCTGGGCAACATAGGGTGATTTCATCTCTACAATAACCTTAAAAAATTGGTAAAGCATGGTAGTGCCCTCCTGTCATCCCAGCTGCTCAGGAGGCTGGGGTGGGAGGATTGCTTGAGCTGGGGAATGGGGAGTGTAGAGGTTGCAGTGAGCTGAGATTGTGCCACTGCACTCTAGCCTGGGCGACAGAGTGAGGCCCTGTCTTAAAAAAGATAAAAAGCATGATTTTGTTTGATCTAAGTCCTTAGGTTTATACCTACTTCAATAACAAAATAATTATAGCAAAAATAAATCAGATTTGTTAATGTCTTGTAAAGAGTTGATACCAGGCCAGGCACGGTGGCTCATGCCTGTAATCCCAGCACTTTGGGAGGCTGAGGTGGGTGGATCACTTGAGGCCAGGATTTGAGACCAATCTGGGCAACATGGTAAAACCCCATC